AATCTGATGTAAGTAGTTCTAGCAAAAAGCCTTTTATTTTCGAGAAAAGTAAGAATAGTAGTTTTCGTGGTCAGAGTCTCAAAATGGCCGTATTCTCAACCCGAAATTTACTAACATCAACTCTCCTCGTGTTCGCAAATAAAGGCGCAGGGAGAAATTTGAACACTTTCCATCAATAGAACAACTGTTCTTCTTTCACTAGAAGATACTTTCAAAGCAATATCAAGACTCCTTGAACTGACATAATTCAAAAACGAAGGACAGGTTTTTACGGTGACAAAAACTTTAATTTAGTAGTTGTTTTCTGCGGCATTATTTTTCCTGTGGTATAGCTCCAAATTTTCCCAGTCCTCGTTTATTCACACATTTAGACATTCACCTAAAACATACCTGAGAATTGGCTTGGGTTCCTGAAGGCAACCTCCAAACGAAAGCATCGAAGTCTGGTAGATATAGTGAAGCGTGACCAAACTAACTTATTTAACGGCACCAAGTTTCCTCGATCGTAAAGTAACAAGAAGAACTATCGTCCTGTTCCCGCATCCTTAGCGAATTACCATTGTTAAAGTCCTTATTTTTCGAAAAAAAGTGAGTACCAGAAAACTAGCGCGTTTGATTACTGACTGTCGGCATCGAAAATGTTACTCTTTCAAGAATTCCGTTGCGTTACTACCTTGATTCCGTGACAGTCATTTTGACGGCTCCGTCTCTTCAAATGTATGTTATGTCACGTGCAGTCACGGAACAGATTGTCACGCAGAGTCGGCGGCTGGTGGAGTTCAGTGTTTCAAAGTGGCAAATTGACCCATTTTCACCTTTTTACCCCACTCTTTGGATGAAAAAAGCAACTTTGCAATGGGAAAACCCACAAGAAGTACGAAAAACGAGCCTTTAGGCTGTAAATATCTACTTTTGTGCGTTTCGAAATTTGAAGTGTTTACACAATTACCGCCGGCCTACAATGAAAATTTTTATAAACAACCTTTTCAAGAAACTTAGAAAAGCTAGGGAGAATCGAGATCGGTCTATAGTTCGTAAAGAGTGATCGATCACCGGCTTTAAAGAGTGGTATCACGCGAGCAATTTTCATATGGTCGGGAAAATGAGTAACGAACTTAAGTTTTTGTCATCCTGAAAACCTATCCCTCATTTTGCTCACAAACAAAAGGTTTTTGGCAGAAACAATCTACATTAGGCTTCTTATCTACCTAACAGCTATCTATGAACAAAAAAAATGAAAGAAATTGATTTTTCAACTCTTGCCACGAAATTAAGATTTTGGTCGATTTTTCCTGACCGTCGCTCTGAAATGTTCCACCATTTTGTAAGCTCTATCAGAACAACACAACGCAACCTCGTTTCCATGGCTTCTTGATTGTCATTCATTTTTGGCATTTATACTGGACTATTTACGTCATTTTCCACATATAGCAAACGTCTTCCAAACTTGGTCAACGCTAGCTTTGTTATTAGGATTTATTTGCCCTGGGATTTGTGCATTCAAAAATATATTAATTGAGTAACAACGTTAACTGTGCCAATGAAAAAATGCCAGAATCTGATTGTGTGCTATTGCAACTCCAAAACTGTCCGGTTACCAGCAGCTTGTATACGGACACTGGTCAAATCGGAGAGTTAAAGAGCCAATGAAAATCAAGTAGCAAATGCTTCTAGTCAAGGAAATTTTACTACAAAACCAATGAAAAATATCAAGCGCGCAGGCTGTCTAGCTTCAGCTAAAAAAGAAAATGGATGAACTAGTCCGATTACTTTGACTTAACTTTAACAATTGAAATGGTAAAGAGAGTGGCTAAATCGTGTGGGTAAGTGTGTCGTGCGTCGTGCGCCCTTCGTCGGCACGAGTGGTGGGTTGGCGTTGTGCGTCGTGGCTTGTGGATCGTGAGTCGTTGGTCGTGCGTAGCGCAAACTTCGTTCGTTTTGCTTGTCAAAGATAATCAAGCGGCGGGTCGAACCCGATTGCAAATACATAGATACATACATCTAACCGACTTTTTGAAAACCAACCTAAAGAAATTTGCATTCATTTTAGTGAAAGGCGCTAAAAGGCAGGTTTCGTGAGCCCGAAAAGCCCCAAAATCACAGTAACCAAAGGAAAGGAAAGGAGAAAAAGAAAGAGCGAGGAGAAGGAAAGGAGGAGAAGAGAAAAAAAGCAATGGTTACACTCTTAGTTTTTATAATGGCTACTTTGGAGTTTTTGGCCGAAAAAAACTGTTGGACGCAAAAGGTCTATTTGACGGTAACGTTATGAAAAATCCGGCTGGACATACAAACGGATTGTGCACATAGTGCTAGTATCTCCGAACTACATTATATAACAAACAACAATGATCTTAAGCTCAAAAAAGGACCTAACTGCTTAATTTATACACTGATACAAGAACATACATCACAAAATGTCATTATGATCTACAATTCCACATTCTACATTCTTCATTCTCGAGGGAAAGGAAAAGAAAAAAGACAACTATAATATAAAAAATATAAGTATTATCTATATAAATGGCGTTTAAAAGTAGCAAGCTTTTCGGACATTCTGATAATATATAGNCTAACCGACTTTTTGAAAACCAACCTAAAGAAATTTGCATTCATTTTAGTGAAAGGCGCTAAAAGGCAGGTTTCGTGAGCCCGAAAAGCCCCAAAATCACAGTAACCAAAGGAAAGGAAAGGAGAAAAAGAAAGAGCGAGGAGAAGGAAAGGAGGAGAAGAGAAAAAAAGCAATGGTTGCACTCTTAGTTTTTATAATGGCTACTTTGGAGTTTTTGGCCGAAAAAAACTGTTGGACGCAAAAGGTCTATTTGACGGTAACGTTATGAAAAATCCGGCTGGACATACATACGGATTGTGCACATAGTGCTAGTATCTCCGAACTACATTATATAACAAACAACAATGATCTTAAGTTCAAAAAAGGACCTAACTGCTTAATTTATACACTGATACAAGAACATACATCACAAAATGTCATTATGATCTACAATTCTACATTCTACATTCTTCATTCTCGAGGGAAAGGAAAAGAAAAAAGACAACTATAATATAAAAAATATAAGTATTATCTATATAAATGGCGTTTAAAAGTAGCAAGCTTTTCGGACATTCTGATAATATATAGATTTAGCCATGGCTAAAAGCGAGGCGCCATTAATAAATTTATAATTTAAATCAAACAATAAACTTGTATTCCACAATTCAGTTAACTTTAGAGCACATTCATGTGACTTTTCAGGGAAAGGCTAAGTGATTTTAGAGAAAAATAATTTGCAAACAGCCCAAGACTGAACCAAATCTTACATCCACTTGATAGCCTCATATGTACACCCAAAAACTGGCAATCATCTTCGATCACATTTATTAAGAGCCATAATGGCTCTTGGTCACCGTATATTAATTAGGCCTGGAAAAAAAATCCCGCCGAATTTTTTGCGTTCAACAAGTTTACTTTACAAAATCTTGCCAACAAATCTGGGTGCGTGTAAACCAAACTTTTATACCATTGATACATCACATCTGAGGTGAAACAGTACTATGAGGCACTGTTTTTATCATGCAGACCTTGGAAGTACTATATTTATTCACAAAAATGTCAAAAGGGTATGCCCTCCCTTCAGGGGTTCATTGCTAGGACTAGGCGTGTTTACAACATTGAACTTTACATTGCCAGGAAAAGAGGCACTTTAAATAAACTTCTTAGTAAGTGGGAAAAGTTAATCAATATAATGTGATCTAATTAACAATTAAATATTGTACACAGATATAAAGATAAGTACTTTCTATTAACTTAGATATTGTCTGCTGTAATAGTTTTTTCTTTCCTTTTTTTTTCTTTTTGTTTTTGTTTTGTTCTTTTTTTTGTTTTTTCCTTTTCACTTTAAGTGTACTCTGTAAAATGAAAACTTCAAATACAAATTAATGAATTACAAGAAAAAAAAAATTTCGAAAGAAAAGCTAAGCAGAGAGCCTACTTAAATTACTGATAGATTTAAAGTAGTGCTGTGACTATAGGTGAGAAAACGCTGTAAAGTTGTCAAGGCATGAATGGTGTTTATGTAATATACCATTGATGTATAATTTTGAAGTTTCGAATTTTTTTTATTTTTCCTAGTTTAGAAAGTATAAATACCCTAGGTAAATGTTAATAAGTAAAACGCAACCTGTCAGTAATAGACAGGTGTCAATTCAGAAATGCATTTATAAATAAAATGTTGAATCGTAAAGACAAATATAAGCTTACGGGTACTAAACCTTTGCTTTCTTACTGTCATGCGGGTGTGTTTGTTCGACGTAACTTATAAGACATAAAAGAAACTCGAATCGGACATCAAGATCCCTGAAAGAAGACAGTTAAATGGAAATTCATGGACGCTGATGACGTTATCTGAGTTCCCTTTTATTTCATCGGTACAGATAAAGACTGGAATTAATATTAAATAACGTATGCCCTATATACACTCCAATGAACATTATTTAAGCTTCCGACAGTTAACTGGTAAATGTCATACAAAAATTTAATGTCCTATTCCAAATATGATCATACCTACTAATAGGCTTCGTTCGCTTTACAAAATAAGTGTTCAGCAATCGGGGGTCATTAAATCTTAATATCGTCTAGTTTCATCATTTATTACACCAATAAATATATTAAAGATCCGTCCTCCCTTGAATCCACGTTCAAAATTTTCCTATCTCCTTCATAACAGTAAAGCAGAAGTGGGGCTATAGATTTTAGTTGCAACTGCCCTTATATATCTTGCGACAAACTGCATTTTTGATAATTTCATTAATTTTTCAACATTTTTCTATCGGTCCATCTTTACATAATGCATTAGTTTATTCAACACCACTGAAATTGGGGTAAAATTTACATATATACTACTGCTCTACTCGAAAATAGCAGAGGCTTATCAGGACTAGTAAAACGACTCCTTTGTGGTTGTCTTGGCTTTACTGTTACGTTAGTAAACAATTGTATATGAAAAATGTCTTCAGAACTTGAAGATAGAAGTCTTTCTCTAGTAATTTTGGAACCAGCCATTCTGATCGTAATGACAACAGCTTGTCTTATTGGAAATGTTGTAACGTGTATTGCTGTATATTCAAACGAACGTCTTCGTACTTCAAGTAATCTTTATGTGATTACTTTGGCAATCAGCGATGCAATTAACGCGTCCACGGTAATGCCTTTGACTATCGGCGTTCTAATAACAGGCAGATGGCCATACGGCGAAGCGCTCTGCAACATCCACGCGTTTTTTACGTTGTTTTCTGTGTACGTATCACCAACTACAATGGGGCTGACCGCCTTTAACAGGTATGTCCGCATTGTGAGACCAGGACATTATTCACGCATTTTCAATGCACGGCAATCAAAGATATATGTGGCTGCAATATGGCTGATTGTTTCTGGATACGCATTAGTTCCAAGGTTAGCTGGATGGACTGATTATGGATTTATCCCTGGATACGCTGTCTGCACTATAGTCCACCCTACAGAGGCGATGAAGATAGCGCATTATTGCATTGTCGTTGTTTTCTTCTTTCTTTTGCCGCTTGGAGTTGCAACATTTTCCTATTACAAGATATTCACAATGGTAAATCAGCACAAAATAAACACGAATTTAGCAATAAAAGAAGAATGCCGGATATCAGTAAGAGAGATTCACATTTCTAAGTCACTGGCCATTATTGTGCTGGCCTTTGCATTGTGCTGGATTCCCTTTTGGGTTGTTGCCATGATGCAGCGTTTTGCTCCTGATACCGTTGTTTCACGCAATGTCCAGCTACTATGTCCTTTTCTGCTGTTCTTTTCTAGCACTATTAATCCGTTCATATATGCCGGGATGAATCCGTCATTTAGGGCAGAGTTTCGAGCCATTTTGCTTTGTAAATTTTGGAAAAAGCCCTCAGTTGGGGTCCAGGCCCAGGAGTTTGGAAACTCCCCTAGCCCTCTAGAGATAAGTTAAACCGAACTCCGGTCACCAAATATAACAAAAAATCGTTACCTTAGAGCCACAAAACTCTGACCACCTTTTTAAGGTAGTAAAGTGTACTTAACGTCTTTATCCAGTTGTAGGCGTGCCATCGTTAAATAATTTATTAATACACATACGTTGTAAATCATAAGCAGGATTAAGAGACCCAAATTTCATAACCCAACCACTTATTTACAAGCATGGGGACAAGTTGTCAGATGAAGAGTTGAAATCTGGATGACAGAGGAGCAGATTGGGCTATTGGCAAGAGAAGGACTCGAGACCGAGACCTTTCAATAGGGAGTCCCTAAGCGTAAACTTCTACATCGTGTACTTATGACTAAAACTTAGTTCAGGAAGTCTTTACCTTTTTTCAAATTCCAAGGAAATTCACTAAATTATACAGTTAGTAATACCAGGACAAAGAGAAAAAACTGTTTGATGGAAAGGGACTTTTTAAAGCCACTTATGAAACTTAAACAATCGTTGCAAGTTTCGACGTTTAAATTTGCCAGCTTCGAAACAGCCAATACTAATAAATTCAATATATCTCAATTGAAAGCTAATAACTTTCCAAAGAGTAGCCAACAATTCGTACTCGGCTTTTTCTCCATGGATAAAAGAAAGCCTACTTAAATTATCGATAATTTAATTTAATTTAAAGGTAAAGCTGTTACGATACGTGACAAAACTCATTTGCACGCCGGCATGAACGGTACTTCTGTAATATAAAAACTCTGCATAATTTGTAAAGATGGCACGGCGTGAACGGTGTTTTTGTAATAAGACGGTGATGTATAATTTTGAAGTTTCGATTTTTCATTTTTCTTCAGTAAGAATGTATAAAGACCCTAGGTAAATGTTAATAAGTCAAACGCAACCTGTCACTAATAGACAGGTGCTAATATAGAAATGCATTTATAAAATGTTGAATCGTAAAGACAAATATTATCTTACGGTACTTTTTAAAACCTTAATTTGCTTTCTTACTGTCATGCGGATGTGTTTGATCGACGTAACTTATAAGACATACTAGAAGAAACTCGAATCAGATATCAAAATATATTTAAGTAGAGAGTTAAATGGAAATCATTCGACTGATGTACTTATCTCAGTGCCCTTTTATTTCATCAGCACAGATAAAGAAGTACTGGAAATATTAAATAATTGATTCCCGACTGCGTGGGATCTTTCAATACTATACACACTCAACTGAATATTATTTTAAAATAGTGTTCAGTTGAGCTTAAAAGCTTCCCACAGTTAGCCTAGCATAATGCATTGTTTGGTAAATATCATGTAAAAATATAATGCCCTATACGAAATTTGGTTATACTTACTGAAAGCCTTCGTTTGCTTTATAAAATAAGTTTACAGCAATCTGATTAAATCTTCTATAATAATTGACACTGCCGGTATTGTCCAGTTTCATCATTTATTGCACTAATGTATATATCAAAAATCCGTTTTCCCTTGAATCCACTTTCAAAATTTTCCGATCTCCTTCAAAACACTAAAGCAGGCGTGGGGCTTTCGATGTTTAAGTTGCAACTGCCTATTTACATCGTGCGACAAACTGCATTTATATAATTTCTTTAATTTTTTGACTCCTTACTAACGGTACATCTTTACATAATGCATAAGTTAGCCTGCGTAGCAAGCGTTTTCGTGCGGTTTCGGAGCAAAGACTGAGGAAGGAGAGTCAAAGACCACGAGAGAAAAATGGCTCGATCTTTCTTTGGTCCGAAACCAATTCACACTTTCTCAACCCAGGCCATGCATAGGTTTATTCAACACCACTGAAATTGGCGTAAAATTTACATATATCGCGCACTACTCGAAAATAGCAGAGGCTTAGATCGGGACTGGTAAACGACTCCTTTGTGGTTGGCTTGGCTTTTCTGTTAGTAAACCACTTTATATGAAAAATGTTTTCAGAACTCGAAGATAGAAGCCTTTCTCTAATAATTTTGGAACCAGCCATTCTGATCGTGATGACAGCAGCTTGTCTTATTGGAAATGTGGTTACGTGTATTACTGCGTATAGAAACGAACGTCTTCGTACTTCAAGTAATCTTTATGTGATTGCTTTGGCAATCAGCGATGCAATTAACGCGTCCACGGTAATGCCTTTGACTATCGGCGTTCTAATAACAGGCAGATGGCCATACGGCGAAGCGCTTTGTAACTTCCATGCGTTTTTTACGTTGTTTTCTGTGTACGTATCACCAACTACAATGGGGCTAACCGCCTTTAACAGATATGTCCGCATTGTGAAACCAGGACATTACTTACGCATTTTCAATGCACGGCAATCAAAGATATATGTGGCTGCAATATGGCTGATTGTTTCTGGATACGTATTTATTCCAAAGTTAGCTGGATGGACTGATTATGGATTTATCCCTGGATACGCTGTCTGCACTATAGTCCACCCTACAGAGGCGATGAAGATAGCGCATTATTGCATTGTTGTTGTTTTCTTCTTTCTTTTGCCGCTTGGAGTTGCAACATTTTCCTATTACAAGATATTCACAATGGTAAATCAGCACAAAATAAACACGAATTTAGCAATAAAAGAAGAATGCCGGATATCAGCAAGGGAGATTCACATTACTAAGTCATTGGCCATTATTGTGCTGGCCTTTGCATTGTGCTGGATTCCCTTTTGGGTTGTTGCCATGATGCAGCGTTTTGCTCCTGATACCGTTGTTCCACGCAATGTCCAGCTACTATGTCCTTTTCTGCTGTTCTTTTCTAGCACTATTAATCCGTTCATATATGCCGGGATGAATCCGTCATTTAGGGCAGAGTTTCGAACCATTTTGCTTTGTAAATTTTGGAAAAAGCCCTCAGTTGGGGT